TTAATCATAAATTTCATACTACTCACATTATAATAAGTAGCACATGTATTCAACAAAATGTTTCAAGTTGTTTTAGTTTCCGAATGATATGAGCTTCCTTGAAATGACACCACATCAAACGAAAAATTATTTAATTGAGTTGTACAAGTATTACATTTATTTGACATGAAACAATTAGGAGGATAGATTGCAATAATAATAAAATATAGGACAATTATTTACTTAGTATCAAAGCAGAAATATAAGGTTCTTTGTATCGGTTTTGACAGAAGAAAAAAAAAGGGAAATTCAGTGTTACTTATAAATTTAGATGAGAATAGAAAAAAACTAAATATATAAAGGTAGTTAAGGCAGGGATGCTATACAGAAGGACAAAAACGGGTGAGATTATGATCTATAGACGACATTTGACAGATGCCAAGGTGATCATGAAGATGTCCATCTATTTATTAGGGTTAAATGAGCGATTTATATTAATGTGAGCAAATAGGTTTATGATTTACTGTTGGTGTTACGATTAGTTATTGGAACTAGAGTTTTCCTCAAGAACTGGTATTAGCTATAATGCCATTTGTCCATATGGATTAATGAATATCACGCCGGAATCCAAGACCTACAATATGGGGCCTGAATGGTTCGTTCATAAATTATTGGCCGGCCCCAAAACTCACTGAACTACTCTCGCTACATGAAAATTCGTCTGCAGTCTGTCTTCCGTAAAAGTGGCTACGCCAACAACTTAATCAAAAGGTGCGTAGCCAATCAACATACTGTCAAAAAATCAACTTCGGAAACCAAGAAAACTGTTGTATCACAATATGAGAGAAATATCACAGAAACCATTTAGCATTAATTTCGTTCACAAACAAACGTAGTTATATTCTATGCGGACCAGAATCCACAACATTGAAAGGAAAGCAAATTCAACGTCGTTTACAAAATACTTTGCACCAACTGTAATGTCCTAGTAAAGATTAAGTTATGGGTAACTTCTGAGAACTATTAATGGACTGATATTATTTATGTATATATATTCTTATTGTATAACTGTCCAGGAACTAGACTAAGTATATCTATATTCCTCTCATTATAAGGTTCATTTTGACCTACAGATTATTATTATACGATTTACTGTTCTTAAGTTATGTTCAGTTTATTGACTAGTCTCACATGTTCACAGCCACATTTTGGCTTGATTATGTATAAATGTTATTTCCTATTTTATGATGTGATGCAGTCTGTTTGTCTGGTACATAAACCGAGTATGTTTGAAATAAATGATTAGCATAGTGGAAGTTGTTGTTAGCGTTCTGGACTCAAATGGATGGGCTAGGCAAACAAAGGACTAATAACGATGCTAGGCTGCTCACACTGGTCGGACGTCATTCCTTTAGTACAGTACTAAGATTCAATAAGTCGTATCTCGATTGGTGAATAAACCACGTGTTAAAAAGCCGGGCTTAAAGCCTTAACACCAACAGCGGGAAACATTATATTAGAAGAAGTGTGCACCATTTCACCTACTCATGAATAAACATAGATCAGTAAAGAAGCAACAACATATACTATCAATGATACCAATGCATGAAGATAACCATCAAGTCAAATCTGATTAGAAAATAAAAATCTAGAATCTCGTAAGCTACAAGAATATCAGAAAATTAGTGGAAGCAGCAATTCGGCGGCCTGCTTGATCATCTGGGCTACCTGTTCCTGCCATCTAGATATTTCAACAAGTTATCTATTTTTGTTTGTTTTAATAGATCATTATTTTTATTAATCGCATGACCTATTCTGCTGCGTTTCTGAAAAGTGTACAACCTTTCGTTGTCAAAGTTACAAAAAACTCAATAAGAGACAATGTGGTTGCTGGCAATATACAACGGAAAGAATGCACATCATTCAGATGTTCATTTAGTGAACTGCTAACATCTAACTGGCTATCACTCAATATTTATCGCCAGGACCGACGAAGAAGAAAGAAACGGAAACTTGTTGAAATACTTTACGCTGAGAATTCTATATTGTACCAAAAATATAATATTGAATAAAGCTGATGATAATAATAATAATACACAGAGATGTCAATCAATCACAAGACCGGAGGTCAACTAACAAGGACAATATACACTAGTCGAAGAGTACATGAAGATAATGAAATCTAAGAAGACAGTTAGTCACAAACAAGGCTACAGGAACGAACCGATAGACACGTCTAAAATATTTAGTAAGCTTACCTCTACAAAAGTCCATGATGACAATCACAAAGAAACCTTAGCTAGACCATCAGTGAAAAATTGGAAGGACTGTAGGGTCGTTTTTTCCTAACATGATACTCCTTAACAGTGCGCATCTATGACTCTTCACAAGAGTTCCAGTAAGAGACCGTTATCAGTGGAGCTAATCCGAGTCGGGTGTGAGGCAATTACCCACCGAAGACAAGTGAAGATGGTCGAACAATATTTTGGATTGTTTGAAATTAGACATTAGCGCCATTGGTTGTCGGCTCAATTAACTTGAGGTTGAGCGCTCATGCGCAAGATCGAGAGTCCTGGGTTCGACTCCCGTGCGCCTGGAGTCCCATACTAGGTTGGAACGACCATCCAGTGCTCCCAGGTTTTCAATGGTGGTCTTAGGACGATCTAGTCTAACAGAATAAAATTATGTACAAACAAGCATTATTACTTGACATCTTTCCCAGTTTCTTCCTCCAATTGCCCTGGTACGGCCGAGAGTGAGGAGTCAGCTCTCCCTCTCAAGAAACTCTCACATGGACATGCATATACAGCGTCAAGGAAGTCCTACTCAATGTTTGCGAAATTGAGAGGACGAAAAACGGATGTCCGGTGCTTTATTTGGGTTGGTGGACATGGAGGATCCACATAAGGGAGTTGTGAAACCCTGACTCAAAACCAATGGTGCACATGAGCTTCAGTATCCTGAAGGAACAAATGGAGCATGAACCTATTGTTGATCACTGGCTAACATGGGACTGCATCACCTTACATCGCTCCACTGACTTGTGGATTAGACCTTTAGGTCAAAAGCTTGAAGAGTATCCCCTAAGAAAACCTCTTGTTTCGGTTCGGGCGTCCAGACAGTATCACTGCCCTCACACAAATCAATGAAAACTACTACTGGCCTCAGTGTTATTGTGTTTCGCATATGTACTTGGTACCGTCTAGTACCAATGTTAGAGTTCAAATAGTAAAATGTGCCCCACTCCCAATATCCCATTACTAGTAGATATGACTGGTTTGTTATTACTTTTAATAATTACCACACTAAGAGAAAAGCTTCAGGATGCCTACCGATATAAGCGGTCAATCAGTCAGTAACAACGTAGAACTTCGTACGTACGTACATCAGTTCGAGTTGCCACACCAAATTAGCACAGAGATGCAGTTGTCGATTCAAATCCCGTAGTGGTAGAGGTAGTAAGAGTATAAGCAGTAATCGGAAACATTAGGGTTTGAAGAAGTTATTCAAGGAGTAAAATTCAGTGAAATAAATTTGGAAAGAGAAAAAAAGAGACAAGGAGAATTCAGAAGATTGGAATTTGGGAGAACACAAAGAGTGGATTCACCTACGCCATTGCAAACTACTTTCAGCCATATCATTCAAGGTTTTCAACCATCGGCTTCTATCATCTCGTGGTCCCCAACCAGGTAGTCTACACCTACCAACGTGACTCAATACACTTGTCAGTGACTTCATGGACTTGTTCCATGTTTTGGTCTAGCCGCCTGTAGATTTCTTCCAACCTTCTCCTATATCACTGAACATAGCACGTCGGGGCATTCGGTGGTTGGACATAAGTAGGACATGTCCCTGCCATCTCAACGGATGAAGTTCTACTACTTCCTCAATTGATTTGCCATCCTTACCTAGTACCCGTTTCCTAACAACTGCGTTACTTACTCGGTGGTCCCAGGATATAAGCAGAGCTGGGTTTGGACCTGAGACTTAATGACCAAATGTCGGAACCCCTAACTACTAGGCCACCATTCGACGCTGACGTTAACACTTAAGAATTAGACAATTGGTAAATGTACAGATTGAGGAGACTCAGTATAACTCGATCGGAAGTTGTAATATAATTAAAAATTTGACTAGGCATAAAATATAGTTTAAAATTAACACCAACTGACGACAATAATTTAATAACCAGATCAAAGAACACAAGTACCATCAAATACCGATTATATAAAATCTAATGAATGTTAAAGTAACCAATAGAATTCATACTTCTATTTGTTGTATAACTACTAAAATGCTTTCTTATTCCACCATAGCTAATGTATTAGCACCATCCATAAACAACATGCAATTACAAACCAAAAGAAACTCATCTACAATCAAACAAAAATATAATAATTTCAATGATTAAGATCATGAGTCAGATGAAGCTAGACCACCATGGAAAACCTGGAAGCACTGAGCGGCTGTTTCGTCCTATTGTAAGACTCCTCAGCAGTGCGCATCCACGACCTCGCTCCCTGCGACAATCGAACCCAGGACCCATCTGATAAACATATGATAGTTTCACAATATCTTATCTTCTTTTAATAAGTATACTAAATAGTATAAGTAAATAAATTCATCTTTCAACTGTTTGAAATCCACATTAACTAATTCCATTTAAACAACCTAATAGTAAAAGTAATAAAAACACAATAGGATTGAATGAAAATTGAAAATATATAAACATGTAAATAAATAAACTATGATAGAAACCTAACAGAACAATAACTAAAATAACTTAATTCTATACAAAATTAACGAAGGATTAATAATAATGTCTAGGATAATGAATATTTTGTGCAATGAATTCATTCAATCATATAAGCATCAAATAACTTAACAACAATAAATTTATCTATTGAATAATAAATCAATCAACTTAAACAAAAGAAAGAAAAGAAGTAGGTAAAACACAAGGATAAATTGTAATGACTATATTTTTTCTCTTTTTTTTGTTTCTTTATTTTCGTTTATTTACATGTAGAAAACAAACAAACAAACAAACAACAAAATTCCCTGAAATAAATAAAGATGATTTCATCATTTCACATTATCCCCTTTCTTATCATTATGGTTATCTCATATACAATGAATCATTGATATTGGCTTTGTACATTAAAAAAAAGAAAGATACACTTCTGTAGTTAAGAAAAATTAAATAAATAAATAACAATAAATTATTATAATCTTGGAAAAACAAAAACAAAATTTGGTTCCTTTTTCTTACTACAAAAAAAAGAGACGATAATTCTTGTACACACACACATACATACATACAAAATATATGTGCAAAAATTCCTCTGTTTTTCCTTTTTTTTCTTTAGAGAATAAGCTACTCAATGTATGTAATGTTTGAGACAATAAACACATGATGAGAAAGAGGGAACGGGGAGAAAATGCAAATAAAATGAAAAAGCATATTTTTGTTTAACAATCTCGAATAGTGTTGAGGGGGTGAGGTAACGAGAGAGAGAGAGAGAGAGAGAGAGAGAGAGAGAGAGAGAGAGAGAGAGAGAGAGAGGAAAAATCGGAACAAAAAAGATACATGTAAGAAAACAGAAAATTACCATTATCTATCCAATAATTATCAAGTAGGCATTGGATGATAAGGAATTTGAGTGAAATGTCCTGTTCTATTAACTAAATCAGTTGGAGTCCAACCAACTAATGATGGTGATTGTATAACAACAGGTGAATCTAGTAGAGATAAATTATTTTGGCTATCAGAACAATAAATAATAATTATTATTATTGTTAGCATTATACAATGCATCTTTCGGATGATATGTATCGACTATTGTTGAGAAAGGTAAAGTTGTATCTGGTGGTAGAATGTCATGTTGTGACAGTCTACCTATACTACTATTAATATCACTATTTCGATTATTTCTACAATTACTACTAAGTATACCAGGATAGGGAATATGAGTAGAGGTAACAGTGATATCATCAACAATACTATTAATTGCAGTAGTAGTAGTATTAACCATGATAAACTGATTTGAACTTATATTTGACGAAATATTCGGCAGGAAATCAGAGGAGGTATTTTGAAACGTCGGTTGTTGTTCAATTCCAGAACAGTAGGAACCTGATAATTGTGTAAGAGATGAAGTATTGTCAACAATATTACATGATTGTACATTTCTTTCGGTACATGGAAGAATGGACGGTTGATTTAAGTTACAATTACCTGAATAATTAAAATAATCTGGCTTTACTAGAAGTGAATTATTAATTTGAGAAGCTGTACAACCGGTTGATGTTGATAGTTGAAGATTTGATGAAAGAACATCTCTTGTACTTGTTGCAACAAGAGGAAATGAAAAATTCCCTGAATAGACAGGATAAACTGGAGTCGATGACAGTTGATTTATATGAAGGGTTCTGTTTGTCTTAATTGTAGTTGATAGTGATTGACAGGAACTATTATTACCCATCTCCGGTATGAACTGATTGACTCCGGAAGGTAAAAGTGACTGAGAATTTGAATGATGCGAAAAAGGAAACGAAGATGGAATGCATTGGTAATTCTGTGCAACCGACAAATGTGGAAGTTGAGGCTCTAGATTACATGAATTCGGTAGATTGGACATGGAACAGGGTACAGGATCCATTCCACACAACTGACTGGGATTTTGAAAATTGGAACAGGTGTCGAAAGGTTGCTGTGTACTCATATTTACACCATACGAAGACATCGGTGTTAAGTAACAGTATGAAGTTGTTGGAAGACGGAGTGATTCACAGGTTCCCATTGCATTAGACGCTCTACATAGATAAGAATCTGATAAATTATTATTTTGTGATGTGTGTACTATCTGTCCAGGAGTTAAAGAGTGACATGTTATTGATGGGAAACCTGTCGAACCAAACAAATCCGATGGATTATACTGATCGCACGTTATGTTATACGTAGATTGATTAATTGGTACAACTTGATATGATGCATGTCTTGCATATGACGATTTTAGTGGATTACCCTCTGGCCATGGAATAGATAAAGAAACTGGAGAGATGGAAGAGCATGACCTTGACTGTCTACAGGTAGTTTTCAAGCTCTTTTTAGTATTACCATCTCGTTTTGTTTTAGAACGACTTGTTGTTATTCTTGATGATGGTGTTGAGATACTAATACTATTAAGTTGTGGACATGTTCTCATTGGTATCGAATCATAAATATTTGATTGTTGTTGATAAGAGAAATCAGATTCATAGGGGAAACTTCCTAAACCTGTTGACTGATGAATGACAGGAAAATGAGATGACGATGATGACAGTACACTACCAATGCCTCTACTAATATTATTGATACAACAGTTATCTGACTGAGATGGTACACCTACTGTTGTACAAGTTGTCACTGGAAACACTTCCATATTAATTAATGGTAAACTAGAAAGTTGTCCAGAATAATTGGTACTTAATAAATTCATATCACATGATTTACTGAGATTATTAGTAAAATTAATATCATTAATAGTAGTAGTGGTAGTAATAGTAGTAGAAGAAGTGACAATAACAGAATCTGATTGGTCTAAAATATTCGATAAAACAGAACTAGAATAAGAATGTGTTGATCCACAAACCAATTGATCTGTATCAGGCGAAACAAAATTTGATGATTCTGACAAAATGTCATCTGTATCGCATAATAACGTTTTATCGTCGTGGTTCGACAAAGGTGTATGAAAGAATTCCTTAGTAATTATCGTATTTTTATTATCGATATAATCATGTCGATTATTGTTTTCGAATTGTAGATGATGGTGGATATGTGTTAATTCAGTAGAATCGAAATCTGGTTCATGATCAGATACTACAACAGGAATGTGTTCTCTTTCAAGACTTGTATACTCTGACAAATATTGATTTTTTGAAGGAGAAAAATGTTGACCAATGGTGGGATTATTTCGAGTTGCATCTATATGTACAGTGGTAGTAATAATAGGATTGGGAATATCTGGAATGACAGAAGAAACAATACTATCAGATATCAGTGATAAACTCATTGTAGATAATGGAATTGTTGATGTCAATGACAAGGAATTAACTGTTGATGGGTTATTGTTTGAATATGTTACACATGTCGGAGATACAACTGACAAATTAACATTTGAATCAGCAACAAAATCAATTTCTTCTTCTGGAAACGAAATATTTTGTATATTTAACGGTTTAGATGATGTCTGAGTAGAGTTTAAGTAGGATAGTGAATCAGTATCAGTGTTGCATGAAGTAACCGTTACCGTTGTTGACATAGTACTGCAAATGTCTAAAGGATTCGGTGCACAATTACACAAGTTGATAGGATTATTTGATGAAATGATTGAAGACTGGAATACGTTACTTTCATTAGTCGGACTACAAGAAGAAGATGAAGGCGATAACAACTTAGAGGGATGATTTGAATCAACAGGTTTAGTATCTTGTTTATCAACAACATAAGACGATATTTCATCTACAACTGGTGAATGACTACACAAAGAAAGAGTAGGTGACTGAGTAACACATGAAAGACTTTCGTAATGTTGACTGGAAACTGCTATCATTGGTTGATTAGATATATTGATATTTTCAGAAAATAACGGTAAATTCAACAAATCAGCGGATACTTTCACTAAGTAATCATCAGATTGTTCTTCCAATAATGATCGATGACTGACTGGTGAAGCTAACGCTGGCTGAGTAATAATAGTTGTAGTATCATTATCATCTTCAAGTGTTATTCTTACTTCAGACAGTAATGAGTTTGTACAAAATTTCAAATTCGGATGACTATGACATCGACGACAATTTCCCATGGGATAATAACACACCATGTCCATCATCATTATTATCTTGCTCGGTTCTGAAGTATGACGACTACGTAAAGCACTATTATTACTATTATGATGAGAATAAATATCCATTTGATGATTATGTTTGAAATTATAGGTTAAGGTTCTATCATTTAATAAATTATTTCGTTTTTTCTCTGTAAAATTGTTACCGTTGAAGAAATCTTGTGAATCTTCAAGAAATGGTGGACTTAAACTATCGGATAAACACATTGCAACAGTTTGTTCACTACTACTATCTTGAGAAATCATAGAAGAGAGTGAATTATTATCAAATGATGATAATGATTTGGATGGATTATTTACAAGATCATCACCATTATAGGATGCAATTAATGTCAATCCATCGGTATCTGTTGTATAATTCATTAATTGACCATTAACATAACTATCTTCTACACAATCGATACTTTTCATATTTATATTACTATTATTATGCAATTGTTGTTCACCGGTCATTGGAAGAGTTAACACAGTTGAATGATCACTTGCATAATTGTCCGATAAATCAATATGAGTAGATGAAATGGTAGAGGATGAGTAAGGCGATACAGGTGGATGAGTTAGGTTTCCAGTGGCATTAATTGAACATTCTGAAATACAGTAGAAAAAAGATCATATCACAGAGCAATTGATTATGGACCTTAGCATACTAACGTAGGATAGAAAAAGACTAACGCTCACTTCTTTCTCCAAGCTCTAAGTGAAAAATAGAAATGCAACAATAAAGTTATCTACTAACGATGAAAGCTCCACGACTAAACCATCCAGCTCAGAGAACAACACACCACCAAAATCATCCACCTGAGCTACAAATCTTCTCCACCATCTCAATCCGGAAAATAGTTCAGAATATTCCAAGTTTCCTAATATTCGTCCCAACAATACCAACAGTCTAAGAGAATTAATTTAACAAGGTCATTCATTTGATGACTGGAGACAAACACTAGGAATCTATGGATGTAAGTTTCCACAACCATTGGCCACTCGTCAAATGGAATCTGTATCATTTAGTATTGAGCCATGTAGCCCAACATGGGTAATATAGATGGCAATTTTTCATGAATCATTAGTTCCCAGAAGATTATGGATATACCGCGCTACAAGTTTCGAGCAACACAAAACCTAGATTGAGATATTTCTCCCAAACATCTTCCAACCATTTAATTTGAAATGATATGCAAATATTACATTGACATCTGTTATTATTTAGAACGTGCTACAATTATGAACCGTTTTGTTATCACAATGTTGTCAGATGAATAAAATAAGAAGTAATATCCAAACTGAGAATCACATAAATAAACACTATTAATCAGTAGGCCGAACCAAATTAGATTGGAGAATTTGAACATTTGTTGATTAAAACAAACTCCTAAGAGTGTCTAGACGCAAGTTTCTCAACTGCATAATGGAATGAGTAAAATAAAGGTTTAACACTATTCTGTGTATTTTTTAATATAATTTTTAAGTAGTTTGGAGGTAGTCGACAGCGTTCTTCCTACAATCATTATCTGACATCTCATAACACAGTACATACGATGTTAAGTTGCTTAAACTAATGACCACGTAGTAATTTGATCGATAAAATTCGATCAGCGCTAAAAAGGACCAAAGAAAACATAATACTAGTTAATAACTAATGAATTAGTAAAAACATGCAACAAAGTGATTATGGACAATTTACCTGTTTCACAAGAATTTGATGGTAATAAAATCGGTGGTTGAATATCATCACAATGTTGATTAATCCAGTGAGCTGAAAGTGAAGTACTGAAAATAGGTGATAATATTGTTTCTGGCTTAACATCATTGGTTATTAAAACAGGAGGTAAGGGCGAATGATTCAATTGATGATTTCTTACTGAATGACAACTGCCAATCAATGGAGATTTATGATTATCTGTTGTATTGAATGGTATTAATGAAGGAGCTGTTAATGGTGTACAATTATTTACAGCGCGACAAAGTATTGGGGGTGAAGAGGACGATGACGATGATGAGGATTCAGAACCACGGATTGTATAGTCATTATTTTGAAATTTATAATTAGATGGAGCAGATTTACACGATGAACTTAAATGTATAGGAGATGTAGGCCAAGAATGATGTGTTCGATTATGAAGAGATTTACGCAACCCTTTAAATAGAAGAGATCTGTTTGTGCTAATAACAGCATCGGATAAAGAATGTACAGAGATTTCAGAGCATAAAGTTGTTGTTATAAGATTATCATCCTGTTGTATTAGACGGTTATTACGTTGATGATTTTGTTGCTGTCGAAGGATTTTCGTTTCCGACAACGATGACAGCATACAATCTCGATCATTACTCGCAGTGGTAACAGAAGTAGTAGCAGTAGTAGTGATACCAGTATTTACAACATCCTCATCATCATCATCCAGATTAGTTTCAACATACAAAGGAAAACTAAAACTGGAATTGAATTTATGTGAAGTTCTTGAAGGATCTGTTAAACGACGATTTGAAGTACAACCTAATTCATATTGACGATGAACACAGTGAAGGCTATTCGCCAAGGAATAATCTACAGCTTTAGCTGTCGAATCTGAAGAAGACGATGACGGTGATGATGACGACGAAAGAGAATTAATAGATGAATCATTCGATTTTGAGTGGACAACAAGTAGTCCACTATCATAAAGTGATAAACACGGTGGTGGTCTATTATTCAATTCATTACCAAAAGAATGATGTGATTTTGATATAAATGAAACAGTATTATCATTATTACCACTATGATTATTATGATTATTATGATTACTACCAATTATATCATTCAATGATGTTGGCAAATCAATGTCATTAGTGGATAAACCATCAGCAAGTGATAACATCGGTGGAGAAGGTGTATGAATTGAAGTAGGACTGAGTGACGATAATCTATCAACAACATGATTTTTAATGAATTGTTCCTCCTATAGATTAAAAAACAAGGGGAAAATGGGAAAGAATGATATTGTTAAACAAAATGAGGAATCAATAATTCGTCAGAAAAAAAAAGAAGTAAAATATTATATTCCTGGAAATTGGACAAAAACCATTAGGAATCCAGGTACTTTAATTTAGACAATTGAACGTTTTTGAAATGAATCTATGTATCATCATTTAAAAAGGCAAATCTTACTTTTTCATGAATTTGAAGAAAATTTATTCCTTTCAGCATATAGATTATATCATCATGTAGTGTAGCAAGAGACTGTGCCACTTCAATAATCATTAACTAAATGACAAATATCGATTATTACTAAATCATTTGGAAAACACTGAAGGAATTAACTGTTTCTGTTCGAAATTTCGCTAACAATAAGAACTTAATTTAGATGATTTCAATAGGATCATGCTTGTCTTTAACTAATTGACGGATCTAAGCTGCCAACCAAAAGAATTATTACGGGAAAAACTGCAATTTGGGTTTTGATATGTGATATGGTAATCTAACTACTGAATTTGTAACGAGGAAATCACATGTTCAAAACTCGATGAACTTAAAAAAGCCGAATCAAACAAATAGTACATATTATCAACATTCATACATTAATAAGTTTTATTGAACAGATCTAGAGTTAACCGTTTGATCATGAATAACATATTATTGATTTATTTATTTACAATGCACAGTACTGAAGTCTTAACATCTTTCATTCATAAATAACCCATTTTCATTCATAAATACAAATAGATGGTTGGTAACAGTGGAATCCAGAATATTCATTTCGTCTTACTTGTGACTCGTCAGCTAAGCGTACCTGAATCCTAGACTTGATATTCACCCTTAGACTCGAACAAAGTATATATATATATATATATATATATATATATATATATATATATGACGAGACTATAATTCATGGACGAACCAATCAGATTCAGGATAACAAGCCTTGGATTTTAGCACGAAATTCATTTATACGTTTGACAAAATAGCGTTTTGGCATTTTAGATTATGTCAGTTTGTGATGAAAACCCTAAATCTAGTGCATAACTCTAATCATTAACTGTAAATCAAAATTATAATTCCCCACACTTCTTTATAACCCTCGTTCAGTCCTAGTTAGTAAGTGGACATCCTCAGGGTCATTTTAGAGTTGCTCAAAGGTTGTCTGTAAATTGTATTCACACCAAATATATTGTGTATTATTAATGCTTAAACTCGTTAGAATAGGTATATTTTAAGTTTTGAAAATAATAACGATTGTGCTATCAAAGCTTGAATATCTTCCGTCAGTCTATCGATTTGCAGAAGAGTTCATAACATAAAAGGGAAGAAAATGAGTGAAATACACTTTTATAGAACAATGAACAGAATATAAAGGCTGTCGAACCAAGTTAACTTTTAAGAGTAAAGAATAGTTTACTATGATTTTACAGTTAATTTATTGAATCGAATTGATGGGATTGAAGTAGGATAGATATGTGGTCCTAATGAAAGTACATGTGATTAGTCACTGAGCGTGAATAGGCAGATATGGATTATTGACTATTTAATTTGTGATTTCTTTCATACTATTGATTTGTATGCTAAACACATTGAGTGTAGACTACTCGTAGTTGTGTTGAACAAAGTATTATCTGGTTTTTACCACTTTTGGTTAAATATGGTGCATATGGTTTAATGGGATCCAGTCTGTGTATATCGGTTAATTAACCAGTTCAGCGATAGTATTGTCTCGGTCCCCAGTCCTATTATCGTATTATAGCAATATAACGTTGAAAACAAGAAAATATCTGAATTATGCCGTTATATCGAAATACAATGCTACCCTTCAAAGTGAACGAACAATATTTCATGATGAATGAATTAGTTTTTCATTTGTCACTTCGGAAGGCTTATTTCAAGTATGTCTATCCGTGAACCCTGTAGCATATTAGTATGGTTTTGCTAACGTTCGTGTCACACTAAGCACTAGAGCTGAGACAGCACTGACCGATTGCATTGCCACTAACAGTCGTTTATGTGCTGTTAAATTGGAAATTTCCATCAAAATGAGAAGAAACCAGTGTCAGGCACAATATCTTCTCGTCATCTCCGCACATGCTCCAAAAAATTGCAGCCCAGATGTGATCAAGGGTGAGTTTTATGACCAGTTAAAAGTTTTCCACAGAAAGTGCATTCGACAGATATTGTAATACTAGCCTGACACTTGGATGTTCAGGTCAGGCGTCTAGGCAAGAAAGAAAGTTGTGTAGGTGGCAGATAGGGATTTGTTGGTCGCAGGTCAGATAACGGGGACTGTCTACTTCAAGTGTGCACAGACCACAACCTGTTTCTGGCTAGCACTAGCTACCGACACAGTGATCGCCAATGCGCCACCTGTCGTCCTTCCTCTGCATCTTAAGCCTGGACTAAGAGTGATCACAACGCGATCAGCTAAGGCTAGTGTAGTTGTGTACAAGACTTCCGTTCCTTTTGGAGTACCTATCTAGACTCTGATCATGCCCTTGTTTGTGTTAATCTTACCTTAAGTTTCAGTGGTCAACAAATTCATCGTCCTAAACAGTCAATGTCAGCAAATTGGTTGCGGCTTATGTTGCAACTAAATATCAAACCGAGCTAACATTTCACCGAAAAGTATCGAGGAGCATTGGTTGCATCTGCATGGTAACAGAAAAATGGCGAGTAAAGTCGCTTGCGGCTTCGCGAAACGTCCACTTATAAGCACTGGGTTATTTCTGGCTACCTACAACTCATTGAAGCCCGTCAGTCAACTCCGGGTGACCGTGAGTCTGATCACAAACGGAAACTGTTACATAATGAAATTGGGCAAAGCTTGTGTAAGGGCTGAGAAGCCTGGTGGTCGGAGCGTGCTAACGAATTAAAAACAGCAGCTGTATCTGGTAACTGCCGGGGGCTTTCTCAACTCATCCGAGTTACTGGCAGCAAGAATTGTGGTGTGGGTGAACCAATCTGTGAACATCTACCGACGTCTTGGACGATGGTCAGTTTGTCGAGGAGCAGTTCAACTGGTCTGCTGCTCCAGCAACATCGATCAGACTGTTCTGTCCTCTGTAGCCTGTGACGACTGATCTATCAAACGAGGAGGAAGTTGGTGGTGACTTTCTGGCTGAGGAACTGACTGGTTTGTATAGACTTTCATGCTCAAGCAGTTCCTCGGCTTTCCTGATATATTCTTCCTTGTCCATAATCACTGTAGTGAGTCCTTTGTCCACTGGAACTAGGACAATATCTTCTCTGGTTTTGAGTTTCTTTTTGTTCTTGTGAGGTCCGTTAGGCGTAGACTTTTTTCCGTTGCGTTAGCGATACTATGGTTTGTCTTATTTCCTAGTAAATATGACTCAAACGGGACTAATACATAGAATACTTCATAAATGATTTCATATCAAATAAAAGTCACAATAATTCAAAAACGTTCTTACCTGATGATTTACATTCAATTGACACCGTTGTTCACTAGTCCCTTGACATTCTTCATCAAAAATTCCCACACAATCACTATCACTGTCATCTCTAACTACCACAGTTGTTGGTGAACTGGAAAAAGATGGACGAAGTGGTGACATATCTATGCAATCAGATGATGATGGTGGGCAAATATTGTCACCTTTTGTATGTATTGCTGTACCTGCTGATGCGGTGAATAATTTATCTTTCAGATTATATAATGAAGAAAAATTACTATGATTATTATTAAGAGTCGTCAAAGTAATGCTACTACTACTGCTACTAATACTAGTGACATAACTTTCAGAAGTAGTAGATGTAGGCATACCACAAGAGAAATTGAAACAATTCATAAATGTTGAAAATAAACTTGTCTCTTTAGCATTATTTGTATTATTGCAATTTCTTGTCGAAGATTTCTGTGGTGCATTATAAGAGAGACGACGAGTTCTAGTAGCAATGGAACAATTGTCAGTGGATGTGCATCCACTACCACTTCCTGCATGTGTGAAGAGACACAGAAAGGAAACAGAACAATTTGTGAACTGATATGAATATTGGTAAATATAAATAAAATTTCAGAAAATCAACTTTAAGTTCACTGAATTTATAAGGTACCAAGATAACCATAAAAAATGTAGACTTTTTCAAACATTTTGTCAGTTAAAACTAACGTCGAATATGAAACATTCTACTGAAAATTGTACAAACCACATAACTGTTAATTCCAGTAAGATGACAATACGTTTCACAAGGGGAAAACTATACAACGGAGTACCTTTAACAACACAGTGATACAAAGTTTGCTACAAGAACATGATGTAGAAGTCGTTGTATGTATTAAACAACTGACATCTTCACAGAAACGCGAACAGTGAGGACTTTGTTATGTACACAACTCTACATGAAGCCCTTCAAAGGTTACTCCCACTTCCAAGTCCAAACACTGAATGAGGCTTAAAAGTGAGGTTAGAAACCCTATCCCATAAAAAAGGAACCTTGTCTAAAAAGGACTTTGAATAGAAAAATCGAAAATATTTGTTATGCATTATAAGCAGATAGGGATAGTGGCTAACAGTGGAATTCAGGACGCACGTTTCGTCCCGTCTGGCATTCGTCAGCTGAGTGTACTTGTATTCAAGAGGTAGGTAGAGGTTAGACATACGTAACACACATCCCAACCACCTCCGTCGATTAGGATTCAAAACCTCATACATTAATTCGTGATGTTTCCTTTGTACATAAAGCATTGCACATTCAGTCCTTGCACAATATACGAACAGTCCTTATGATCGAAAGCCCACGACCTATGGATGCTTTTTACTTTTATAGACCATGTTTCACAACCACAAAGAAGGACAGAACGAACTGCTGAGCAGTTTGTTCCCACTTTGTTTGCCAAATGGACATCATGCCTACGTAACAAATGACACGAGTTGACAAAACTCAAGCTACCTTTCTAAATCTGTGTTGAGATTTCGTCAGATACCAACTCATTAAGACTGACGGGACTACTTCAGAGATGACTGGAATGGCAGATGAACCAAGCCACTTCGCTTCCTAAGATTAATCAAATGAATGATGTACACCAGTCCCAAGGAAACGTTTCCATTGTGAGAAAGAGAAACACATCAAAACATGTGTTTACATTATTAGTTGATTAACATCCCGGTTATCGTAAATAGTATAGTTGTAAAGTAGAATCAATGGTACCGAATGCTTTTACTCCATACTTTAGATTTAACTCATTTCTAAGTTTAGTATTTCTATTTAGTGATTTCAAACAAAAAATCAGGCGGATGAGCTACAATATGTAGTGCGTGAAGTCTCAAGTTATTATTATTATTGTGTGTTAAATATGTAATTTGAGTGATATTTAACAGCGGTTTGTATAGATACACACAAAAAGAATGGAATTCACCAAAAAAATCAAGCACTAAATATGTAATTTGGACAATAGACAAGGCATATCAAAAACAAGGACATAAGGAGAATGTTAAACAGAACAAAAAGAGAAAGCAACAGACAAACTAACCAGGTGGAGGGGGAGACGGTGGATCTGGAGGACGTGGACCATCTGAACAAAAACTTCGCTTACGACAAGGCGAAGGATACGGTTTAGTTTTAGAAACTTTTTTACGTGGATTATGCAACGGCTTGTCAGTGGGGTTAATAGGATTACAAGGAATTGATTTGACATTCGTAGAACCATGTCTTGCCGTAGCAACTAAAGAATCGTGCTTTTGTCTGCTTGATGACTGATAAGTGAAAATAGATTCAGATAGAGTAGTAAGTGGAGATATTTGTTCACTGTTTTTATCAAGAGAATGAGTGGAACTAGGTGGGGAACGAAGACGTCTAAAATGTATATCAGTTACATTACCTGAAACATTGTTGGACATTCTGTTGGACAAAGATTGGTTGGAAGAATTATCATCAGTGTTAACAGTTGAAGGAATGCTATTGTTACAGGTACTTCGTAAACTACGTTTGCGAGGAGCTGTTTCCAGTGACTTGACAATATTATTTTCTCGGTTGAAAGGAGCCTTATCCGATTTTGACTGAGGTCTGTGCTTTTGAGGAGAGAATCTATTCATTTTTGGTACAGTTGAAGAAACCACATTTTCAGATGGAATGATAGATGAATTCTGATGAACTATTTGTGAATTAGAATTATCACAACCACCACCAGAACTATCTGCTGAAATATCCAATTCCTATATATTAAAAAAAATGAAATGCTGGTGGTAAAAAACACTTTATTAGTTCGCACAGTTTAACTTAACAACCACAGGTTTATACGCTCGGCTTTGAGCGACACATTGCGTAATGACAATACTACCCGGTTGTCGAAAATGAAGTGAACCTGGGTTCAGACTTGTGACCTACTAATCGAACAGTCTAACGACAGCAATCGGTAACCGACAGAATACTGTGAAAATTTATAAAGGAAGGATTAGTATCTTGATGAATTGCAATGTATACATAGAAACAAATGCTGAGTTCAAATAAAATCATGATTTAAATAAAATTATTCAGTTCCAAAGGTGATTGAAATTAATAATACCACAAACTACAACCTGCTTACAAACGTCGTTCTGGAGAATTCCACATCGTGCATTATTTGCCAATGGTGGGACTAGTCAGAAAAGCGGAAGAGTGGCTAGTTTATGACATAGTGTGCTAGGGTATGAAAAAAGTTGTACAACATTGGTACCTATCAGTCCTTAAAGACTCCCTGGTTGGGGTTCTGGAGATAACATAACACAGTGACATGGAATGCTACCTGATATGGCTCAGAATAGAAGACGTTGGTCATCGTGCTGTGAATTTTCGCTTTATTTCGTCATAAAAGTGAGAGGAACTTCTCTAGCTGAAAAGATTCTTGTTTTATTTTATTTATGTTTTAAACAAAAGGCCTCTCATATTAATGCTTTTACTCTCACCTACTTATCCATATTCATATATAGATTTTTCATTACCCTCACTTTCCTTCCTTTATCTCTTTACAATCTCACTGCCCAGAACACATTTATTGTGGTGCTTATCTGTACTAATATGTATGTAAATAAATGACTATCACCGGACGATAGAGTTCTGAAGGAACGAATGGCAATGAATTTTGATTGCGTTTATCGTCTCAGCTCACATCCAATCCTCATTACCGATTGAATAAGAGCAGGTATCTGACAATTTATTGACAGGTGTAAGATTTTTGCACTATAGATGTAATATTCATGAGTAACTAATATTTACCGCATAATTTACTTCATTGTATTCCACTGGTTAATCGTAGAGTATCTGTTCTTTTACTGGCCAATACCAAAACACTTTTTTAAACGTTTGGCTCCATTGAACTGATCATTTTGTGTTTGCATGTGCTAAGAGTTGATTGTTGTTACTGGTCTATTTTATCAGCTTGAATGTGAGTTTCTTGAACTAAAATGATGAGGTTTTTATACTAAAGAACCATTAATTATTTCTAAATATTCTGATAAGCGCCAAGGTTTTTCGAGTTTATTCAATATCGGGTGCGTTATCCAAGGGCTTCTTCATGTGTACGAACAAGTGAAAAATTTAAGTTTCTAGAATTATACTATCCAAGAAAGAAAAACTTAAGATCTAAGCATTTCTTTCTGTAAAACACAAGTAATATTCTCTAGGTAATTTCGTAAACGATGAAGAAACTATTTAACAATCTGATAATCTCGAAAATTAATGATGCACTGAAATGGGATAATTACTCATAATCATAACCCTACGTACCACTGAGAAATGTTAGTAAATACCTATGACTAGCATTAAACTATAAAAAAAGAAGTCAGTAAGATAGAAAAAGAAAACATGTACATTCGAAAGAAATTCAAAAAAAACCTACTTGAGGATGGATTAACGGGGACCAACGAAGACATTCTTCATCAATAGGAATCCAATTAACTGATCGTTCTTCATATTTCTCTTGTAGTTGTAATAAATATTTCAAATCAAAACAGATTACAGGTCTAGAATGTACCGAAGAAAAAATTAAAGAAATTATAGTAAATTAAAATGCAGATAACACAAACGGAGAAGCATAAAAATTTTTGAATAAATAGAAAAATATACTTATAGATGATATAAGTAATAAAATATTGCTTCGACAAACTAATGTGCCGAATCGAATCATTTAGGAAGACATAAACAATGAACAGAACATGTTTACTGGGTGAATAAATCCAACAGAAGTAAACAATGAACAAATGTAAATTGAACAGGTGAAATGTTCATCCAGTGTAGCAGCAGCTTCTGTATCAGTAGGTTTCAAAATATTTAAGGGAAAAACCATGATCCTTAAATACAACACGAAGAATACCAACGCAATCAGACTTGATGGAGATCTGAAACAGGTGGAAACTTTCACATACCTGGTCAGCAACATCCATAAACATGGAGGGGGGGACCGATACAGATGTAAAGGTAAGGATTGGCAAAGTAAAAACATCATTCATACAGTTGGACAGCATATAGATCTCAAAACAATCCTCAATCGATATCAAAGTCAAAGTCTTCAATATGAATGTCAAGACAGTTCTACTGTACGGAGCCGAAACTTTGAGAAATACCACAACTATCATCAAAAAGTGCACGTATTTCTCAACGATTGTCTACGTAAGATACTCAGTGTCCGTCGGACGAATACAATAGGCAACAGCCTACTGTGGGAGAGAATGAACTAGATTCCATCTGAAGAGGAAATTACAAAAAAACGTTGGAGGTGTGGATAGGACATATATTACGAAAACCGTCAAACTGTATCACAAGGAAAGCGCTAACTTGGAATCCTGAAGGGAAACGTAGAAGAGAAAGACCGAAGAACACTGCCTCAGGAATCGGAAGCACACATGGAAAGGATGATTAGCAATTGGAGGACAACTGGAAAGGATTGTCTAGGACAGAGTTGAACGGAGAATGCTGGTGTGCGCCCTATGCTACTGCACAAACGGTAACAGGCGTGAGTAAGTTATAACTGTTTAGCTATCCTATCTTTACCAAACTGATGGCAATAAACTAGTAAAAACAAAAATTAGCTCAAAAGTATGAAAACAATGCAGTTTAAACTTTTGATGAAGTGCAATTTGAATTGGTGTAAATCGTCTTTGATCAGTGGTATATCTTGATAGTTTAGATCTACACTTTCAGATTACATTACTTAACAAATACAGTCTCATATAAATAGTGGTAAAAAAAAGCAAAAGCACTTTGTGACACTATCAACACAGAATGTATAAACTCCGTGCAACATATTTACTCAAAAACTATTCATTGTCATTTTAAGAAAAAATTCTTGAAATTGTTGTCTGCTATTCGCACCCGAATGCCCCGGTACGGTACGATCGAGAGTGGGGAAAGTCAGCTCTCCTCTAAATGCTCTCAAATGGCCACGTGCAAACAACCATTGCCAGGGAAGTCCTACTCACTGCCTTCTCGTGGCGGGGGTGTTCGTTTACGAAATTGAAAGGGTGAAAAGCAAATGTCCGGCGCCTTAACATGGTTGGTGGGTTGGGAGAGTCCACTTAGGGGAGTTGGAAAACCGTGATTCCAAACCAATGGTACACATGACCTCCAGTATCCTGAAGGAACAAATGGCGTACGAACCAGTCGTTGGTCACCGGCTACCATGGGACTGCATCTCATGAGGTCGCTTCACTGCCTTGTGGATTAGACCTTTAGGTCGAAGGCTCGGGGTGTGGCCCCCTAAGAAAATCACCTGTCTCGATTCAGGCACCCAGACAGTATCCCATCCCTCACACCAATCGAATGATTTATGTGGCCCATATCTATTTGGCGCCTCATTGTACCAATGTTTGTGTCTAAATAAAATAAATATCTGCTATTCAAAAGAACCATAGGTTGATTAAAATTCAGTCAGGATAATCAAAAACAGGACAACTCAAATGCTTTCTCATAATAATATGTTATATCTGTTGCACAAATGAGCAGCTGTCTGAACTCAGTAGCTCATTAGATAACACATTCGATGCTTGAAGTTAAAGGTTTCTGAGTTCGGGTCCCAATGAGGACATAAACAATCAGATGTAGATAAACACGGCTGATCAATCGCGTGCCCTTGATTCTATCGTTAGCCTTAACTTTTCTGTTCTGTAAAAAAATATTGTCAATTACGCAAATCTTCAACTAGATCTCACTCGCTTTTTATGATTAATTTACCCAGTATCTATAATTTTAAAGATTTGAATAAATTGATTAAGGGAACAAAATACGTGAAATTTTTATTGACCTGCTACTTTATTATGGATAAAATAAGCTTATTAATCATATCATTAACTAATTTTTGTATTGGCTGTTTGATTCTTCCCATTGATCATTTTTTTGTTAAAATAAAATATGTGCATCCTGTGAGGATTGCCTCGATACTGCCTTAAATCAAAAGCATTACAAGCAAAGATGGATGATGGCTCAGTCCCGAATAAAACGAAATGCGCGTCCTGGATTCCCCTGTTAGTTACCATCTATTTTTGCTTATCATGTAATTAACGTTGAAATTCACTAAAGATGTCTTAGCAATATGTTTGGTAAATAACATATATGACCTTATTTTATACTGAAAGAATACTTTCGTGCAAACAATATAAGTACTTCGGCTGGTATCAATCTACGACGAATACGTACCAAATATTGAACCAATCTTCATAAAACACCACTGACTAGGATTAAATTAGTAACTATCAAGAAAAGTTTCATTTTAAAAATTAGCAAGTGGTTGTATATTTATCAGTTAAAATAATAGCAAGATAAGGCATTCGACGCTATACATAAGACGGAGTAAGGTTTTTATCTTAGCTTAAACCACTAATCCCAATCAAATTTTTTAAAAAGACTGAAACCAGTTGAAAATAATAATAATAATAATAATAATAATAAGGAATTATTACCTTCCATCTGCACTTAATGTAATTGTTGTAGCCAACTGTTGAATAGTACTGGCTACATCATGTGGATCTATTCCAGTAGTAGAGCTAATTTCATGAATGGTAATGACAAAATCACGAAACCCAATAGACCCAACAGGATTTGCCAAACAATCCGAGTCTGTTTCATGATTAGACAGCGTTGAATTTAATAATTTACAATTCTTCATAGAACATAAAAGAAATGGTAGAATTTTTGATCGCCAATACGACTGATATGAAAGATTGCCAAGTTGAGATAGTGGTTTTTCAGGTGAACCCGGTTGGCCTTCAATACGGGACAATAGGAAACCTATGAAAAATTGTTAAAAAAAGATTTTTAAGATAACTTATATGTAAAATTAGTAACAATCACTAAGGTGATCCGTGAGATAAGATGTGAAGTTTTATAGCATTTATTAACTGATGAAGTAAGCTTTCGAGTACGCGTACTTCCATTTTAAGTGTGCAGACAATTAACAATTCCCAAAAGTGTGAATGAATATCAACCAGACAGAACGGGTTAGCCAATGTGTAAACAAAACTAGGATTAGAAATCAGATTTGTATATACACAATTGAGAGGAAAAACAATTTAAAGTTAACGACTTACTTTAAACACCAAGACAGACATCTAATTGTTACAAAGATAATTATATCTTGAAAAAAAGTTACACATTATTTGCAGACAGTCTATATAAAGCTCACTCAATGTTCTTCAACTATAGTCCAGTGACTTTTAGTTCCTATGTATTACTTTTCAGATCGAAGGATTTTCCAGGTGCTTATCAATTTTAAAAGTTTGCTTAACAATTATAATAATAATCATGTGCTCACTAATGAATGAGTTCTAATGCGAAATCATGACCAATAGAGTCCAATCATTTCGGATGTGGTAGTTATCTCTACCGCATGGAATGGATAAGAGTTGCACAATATTTTGAACTGATTGAAATTAAGCATAAACACCGTTGGATAATCGACTCAGTGGTTTAGGGGTCAAGGGTTCGCGAAGATCCTGGTTTCGGTTACCTGAAGCGGCGTTGTGATTAAGCACTTCTGAGGAATCTCAAGCTAGAATGAAATGCTTTTCTAGTGCTTCCAGGTTTCTTTAAAGTTAATCTAGATAAAATCAGTTCATGATTTAAATCATAAAAAAAATCATCGTGTCTGTTATTAAGGTCATCTTCATCTTTGTGTTGCTTTCACTACTTACGATCACTGTGTGGAATTTTAAGTTTATATACCTTGTAAATGAGTTCACATCTAGTTAGAATAACATTCTCTGAATATCTGTTAAGTACATAACAGTTATTCGATCCAACTAACAGTTTCATTACATATTATACTGGTTTACCATTCACAATTTAACTAATCATATCAGATTATCCACTAAATTCTATTCTATTGGTTTAGTTTTTATGTATTTCAACAATTAACTTGAATTTGTCGACTATCTTTATATATCATTGTTATTAAATATTGACGTAAGAAATTCAGTTAGGGTGTTAATTGATTATAATTGACTTTTATACATACCCATTTTACCTATTTCAAATTCACTTTACAAAAGCAATTCCTTCAACAACAACAACAACAACAACAACAACAAAAACATTCATAAAAGTATACTGTATAAACACAGTGAAGAAATCGACAACAGAACAATAGTAATAAATAATATTAAGAATTACCAAAACATAATTGCTGAGTAAACAAAATAAAACGCACACACACACACAGGGAGAGAGAGAAGAAAAAGAAAAAAATCAAACTTACTGAAATCAATTAAAAATCTTCCATATGCTTGTTTCTGATATGGAGGTAAGACTAGAATACAACTTAAATTGTACTTTTGTACAGAACGTTTCTCTTTAGAGAAATAACCAACTAAATGAAAGCATCGTTCATTATCATTATTATTATTATGGTGATTAGATTTTTCATTATGTTCTTGTTCATCTGTAGCATTATTATGTATTGTAACAACATAGAATAGAAATGGTTCAACATCATAATATAATGTTTTATGATCTAAAAATAATTTAGCTAAAAGACATAATTGTTGACAATATAAACGTGAAGTATAACCATCAACTTCAAATACTGAAATATTTTTACAACGATATATTTCATTACCAGGTGGAAAACTATACGGACATTTTTCCTTTAGTGAAAAAAAAGAAAAAGAAAATAACAAGTGATTACTAATAATACATAAATGATAATTGAATAAAATGATACAAAAAGAGGAGAAAAAACTGTTGAGTCGGCTTTCCGAGAACTGCAACGGAGCCTCCAGAGGCCCTAGAGGAGCCGTAAAGTTCTAGCCAATCAGAGCATGATGGATGGTGGAGAAGATTTGTAGCTCATGTGGATGATTTTGATGAAGTTTTGTTCTCTGAGAACAAAACGCCATCAAAAAGAGCATGATGGAGCTTTCTAGAATGTCAACGTGGCGTACTCCTATTGGTCAGTAGCATAATATGTCTTTTAGAGGATTGGCTAAAATATAATGTTGATTTAACAAATGTTAACATCTATAAATACCCGTGTTTTCTGTACAAAAACGAACCTTGGAGTAAAGTATTTCTCGCATACTTTGCGTCTTCTCTCCTGTGTTCAGGTCGCTGTATAGTTCTAGCTTGGGGGTTACAGAATAGCTTAAGAAACGGATATAGCATTCATTTCGCAAGACTTATCAAAAACCACACCCAAAAAAAACATTGATTGGAAAATGCAAGATTTTTTATAAACACTTGCATTCATATCAGTTAAGGTAAGTTATTAAATTTGTAAAGCTGTTACAATATTTTTCACTGGTTATTGTTTAAAACTTGTGGTGTAACTCGATCAGTAGTGTTTGAAATAAAGACCCTTCACAAGATTTATGTACTTCTTTGGTATGCCTTTTAGTGAACCTTTATTAAGATTATTCGATCAGCCGAGTTAAATGATGCATCAATATCAAGCAGTGAAACTTCAGTAGGTAAGTGAAGTTTACAGAATATGATCCATCAGGTTGGTGGATATGGAGTATTTACCTAAGGGAGTTGGGAAATCTTGATTCCAAACCAATAGTGCACATGGGCTCTAGTATCCTGAAGGAACAAATGGAGTATGAACCTAATGTTGATCATCGACTACCATGGGACTGCATCTCATTATGTTGCTCCACTTTCATGTGGAACGTCCTCTACGTCAAGTTCTCAAGGAGTGTCCTAAAAAAATCACCTGCCTCGGTTTGAGCGCCCGGGAAGTATTCCAGATCTCACAGAAACCGAATGGTATGTGTGGCGCACAAGTATCTGGTGCTTCCTTGTACCAACATTTATGTTTAAATAAATAAATAATCACGAAACTACATTCAACTCTAAGATTATCCTGATTTCCCCAGGTTGCTGGTTTGAATACTGTTCAACCTATTTCGGTTTGAATAATCGGATAACATCACTTTAGTGAATGAGAACTTATGGGGGACAACCAATTTATTTAGTACAAAGTTACGGAATAAGAACCATACATCAAATGTTTCCTATGCAAATCGCCCATCAATTGTCCTTCGCATTCTGTATGATTTTTCTAACTCACAATTCCTCTGTTTTCTTCATTTCGATCTTATTAGCCGTCTGCTGCCATGCATTCCGCTTCTGGTTGGTGTTAGATACTACTTATGTCGGCAGACATAAGTAGCATATACCACATTATTAGCCACACTTAGGGTGCGACTTATACTCAAATACTTTTTGAATAAGTTAATTTCATTAATATAAGCTCGAAAACGAATCATTCACTTTTTCCAAATCATGAAAGCTAGGACTGTCAGAAGTCCATAGGCCGAATAATCATTAGCGATTAAAAAAACCCAGATAAATCACACCCTCCGTACCAAGATTTTGAACAACTGGACACAAACTTTAGAGCTCCAGAAAAAAAGATGAAACAATTAAAAAGGCCCAAGGATAAAACTTACAATATGCCTTAAGTAGACATTGCGAGTCTTGATATACTTCAAACAAAATTCACATATATACAACAACGTAAGCCTAACGGAAACAAGACAAAACAAATAACATATTTATGTAAATTTTAAATGCTAAAAACGAATGATACATTCGTAAACACAAGTATACAATCTGTGACTTTCTATATTTACATGAATTAACAAAAGTTAAGAAAAAACACATCTAAAACTAAATAGTGGACAACATCGTTAACTGTAGTATGGCATTAGAATAGAAAACTCTTCCGACAACTTATATATGGAAGAAAGGAGCTGAAAACTTTCAATCCATGCAAGAGAGTATGTTAAAGATGATTTATTGGATTGTAATCATTATTTTAAAACCCAGACATCTCACAATACAAAGCAACAATGTTATCAACTAAGGGTATTTCTATATATTAATACCATAAATTATTTAATACTTTAACATCAGTCTACTGTTACAGATGAATAGTTCTGCCTAGGTGTTGTTCCTAGCATCAAGCCCATGAAGTCGTTAACGGCTAGATTGAACAATGTTGGTAGGTGCAGACTATCACGTTAGGGCCGGTGTGACTGTCGTGACTAATGACTGGAGACGTTGGACGATATAGCTGGAAGTTGAGTGCAATGGTGTAGATGCATTCATTCTGTCTTAAAATTAAAATTCACCCTTTTTTCTCAAATTACATTATTTTGCTTAATCTCCTCTACTAAAAAATGATACTAACACTACTTCTGTGACTTTGGCGTATATCTTGATAATTTCACCTCACATTGCTGATATAAAGTGACAACTTGAAACGATATCCATGAGTCTGATACTCGGATGCTTATGACTGACTGTTGATCTTCATGTTCATAGTTTCAATAGTTGTCACATTTATTATATTACATCTCAGTAAAAGCAACTGATTTGCTCGGTCAACAAATTCGAAGCAGACAACGAAAATTAAGAATTAAAAAAATAAAGTACCGTAAGGATTGAATAACTGACATAGTAAATTGACATTTAAATAAGGATTATTCTGAGCAAATAAAGGATATGAGAGTATAAGTAGGACGTGTAAAATCTAGCAGTGTATGAAACATGCAAACAAATTTTATGGTGCTTTCGAGTAATTAAAAGGAACAGATATTGAAAGTCATTATTTTCTATTCTCAAAGTAGTAGACATTCGAAGATAATTTTCAATGACCAATAAAGCTAAAAGGAAAACCATTGAAAATCAAAGAGAGGACTAGCAAACTCTCTAAACCCTGACCTATCCTGGAAGAACTCAACAGTCCAAACCTACAACTATGGATTCGATTAGAACCAAGAACTTGGAAAGCGTTTGCTTAGTGGTTAAGGTGTTCTACTTTCAATCAAT